AGAAAAGAGAAGAAACAGAAAGAAACGAAACAAAAAGAAGAGAAAAGAAAAAGGGCCTGGGAGGGGTGAGGGGAAATGTCTTTTTATAAGAATGAATTTTAAAGACAGGGGTCTCTTTCACAGCTATATGTTGCCTCTGCTGAGACAGTAAATACACAGCAGTCTACTGACGTGGTATCTGGGAAAAGAGAATTTAAATTTAACTTTTCATTTTAAAGGGGTCCTTAAAAAAAAAGAAATTAAAGAAATCCTACTTCAAATTTGACTTCTTCATCCAAAAGACACTGTTGTAGATCGCCCTTACGTAAAGTGTTCGTAAACCGATGAAAAATATTCTTTCCCTCCCCTTTTCACAGGCAGTCAACAGCTCAGTCCTACCCAATCTGACACCGCCCCCCTCGAACCGGGACCCAGACCTGCCCAAATATCTCCTCTTCCTCCACCAAGATCATTACTGGTTTTTGAGCATCATTTTTGGAGTCCCAGTTTTTTGAAAAAGGTTTACTAAGATCGATCCGCATACCAGCCTCTGCGGGGCCCTCCGGACCAGCCAACGAGGTGCCGCGAAGGGGAAGCGCGGGAAATTCAAACTCTTTGTCCTGCCTAGAGCCGCAGGGCCCCGCTTCCCGCCCTTCTGGTGGCACTCCAGAGAAACCAGTGACGCAGGAAATAGGAGCCCGGGTTTCCCACCTGCAAGAAAAACTGAAACGGCTTTAGATCAGCTGTTGCCATCGGTAAACAATTCTAATGCGAAACTAGAGTAATTTCATTTAATGTGTGCGCAGAGAGCTTGAGGTATACCCCGTAGATGCCCACGGGAACCACGGGCGGCTCTGCTGTTTATCTAATGCTTTAGGTCCTGGGGAGTTGAGGCTCCGGGAATACGTGCGCCTACCGGCTCTTTCTAGTACCTGGACCTCTCCTCCTCCCAATAGGGCAGCATGGAATAGTAATCCGCGGAGGGTCCCTATTTTGAAATGCTGTAGTCACTTCTTTACCTAGCAGGGAAACTCCCGTCTGCTTTAGAAACGTGCAGACACAGGGAAAGGAGTGAGCGCTTCCAAGTATTCCGAGTTTGGGGGAAGACGACACGTGGGCTGAAAAAAACCTTACAGGTGAAGTGGCGCTTTGCCGCACAGCCATTGCGCCACAGTAGTTTATTTCGCTGAGAGCCTAGTTAGTGACCATCCAAACGCATGCTTGGCTCTAAAAATGCCCCTACGGATCACCATTTCAGTGGATTCCTTAAGACTGTAGCCCAAGCTTGCAATTGCTCAGCCACGGAATGGCAGTTATAGCTCTCCTTTGAGAAAGTGGGTGGCTCTGAAAAGAGCCTTTGGGTTGGATTGTGCCTCCAAACACACTCACTTGGAGCTGGTGTACTTGGTGACGGCCTTGGTGCCCTCGGACACGGCGTGCTTGGCCAGCTCCCCGGGCAGCAGCAGGCGCACGGCCGTCTGGATCTCCCGGGACGTGATGGTCGAGCGCTTGTTGTAATGCGCCAGGCGAGACGCCTCGCCCGCGATGCGCTCGAAGATGTCGTTGACGAACGAGTTCATGATGCCCATGGCCTTGGACGAGATGCCGGTGTCGGGGTGCACCTGCTTCAGCACCTTGTACACGTAGATGGAATAGCTCTCCTTGCGGCTGCGCTTGCGTTTCTTGCCATCTTTCTTCTGCGCCTTAGTGATGGCTTTCTTGGAGCCCTTCTTCGGGGCAGGAGCAGATTTGGAGGGCTCAGGCATGGTTTTTTTCTAAGAGCTGTAGAAATGCTAATCGCACTCACCACAACAAAGGTTAGTGTTGTGAGGGGGTCCAGAGCCCATTCTTTTATAGTTCTTCAATGCAAATGAAGGTTCAAGAATTATCACTTCTGATTGGATAAAAGCAGAACACTTTCATCAAGGGGAGGGGTTTATGCAAATGAGGGATACACAGTTTCTCTTCCTATTGGATACACAGGCAAACATACTTTGACCAATGGGAAGGCGGATTGGCTCATCCCCGCTCTGCCTATAAAAGAACTTTTTTTTTTTTTTTTTTTTTTTTTTTTTT